GGGGAGGGGAAGGCAAAACAAAACCCCAAGAATGTGTTATGTTGTTTGAAATATTTTGGTATAACTTTTGTATAGCAGATTTTAGTGACCTGGTAAAAGTAACAGCTGTTATTTATTCTTAAAACTGATGTAAATTTTAGATAGACTATTAAAGTAAAAACAAACATTAGGACCCAGGAAAGCTCCCTATAAAAGAAGATGCTTGCCACACTTCGAGGTTTGAGTCCCAGCACAGTGCTCCTGTAGCTATAGGTATATCTACAGCTGTATCTTAGGCTGACTGACTGAATCCTGAACATTATTTCTGACCCCTCCTGGCATTTCAGCAGTTCTGTGTGTCCCCCTTCTCTAGTCCACTCCTGCATGAAATAACTTTTCTGTCCACTTATGCATGTCTCCCAATTCTGTCCAAAGTCCTTTGTCCTACCACCATTTCCAAAGTCTTCAATGTCTGTGCTTTGTAATTAGATTTGATACCTGTTCTTCTGAAATGTATATTCTGTTCAAATCCTCCTTTTGCTGACAGCTTGGTTAGTGGTTTCCCTCACATTTCAGCTGTTCTTTTGTTGTATTTGAATGGGAGAAATCCACTTATGTGTTCTTTTCAGTATAAGAGATAGATGACATAGTTTGACAGCATGTGGCTGACTTCACATACACAGAGTCCTTCAATAATGCAGCAATTGTATAGTCTCAGAATTCATGTGTGGACAGATTTCCTTGATTGTCATAGTACTCAAAACTGCCAGACTGACCTGGGGGTAGCCAGAGAATGGCAGTAAAAAACAGTGTTAGGAAGTATCTAGTTGTGCTCTACACAACAGTGCCCTGCTGGTGAGAGCATCTTTTGGGTATAAAAGGGTCATTTAGTATTTGTAATAAGTTCATCAAGGTCCACTGTCAAGTCTCATCACTGAGTCTCTAAAGCCTTTTAAAGGTGGCTTTTAAATTTCAAGAGGAAGAAGTGCCTATTCTTATCTGCTTTGTGTTTTCTGGTGCCATTCAAGTGTATATTCACACAGTGTCTTGCTTTTCACTGATAACTTTTTCTGGGTTTTTTTTTTTAGGTCTGAGCAGTACTTTGGGAGCCCAAGTGATATGGCTTCTGCAGCAGAACACATCAGAGAGAAGATGAAGCTAGTTAGCCTGAAAAAGCAGCAGCTGAGACAACCAGAAGTCACTACCCCAGAGAGCTAATACTGACCCTTGTCTATGAATTCATAATAAGACTTCAGTTTGTAATCCAGCATGTTGTTTGCATATTACAGAATTTGGCATAATATATTAAAATGCATTTCACAGCTGTTATGACTCATCTTTTTTTCAAAGTAAATGTTCTCAGCATCTTAACACTGTACGTCTATCAAGCCATAATTATTTAACATGCTATGAAACCATAGATTCCAAGTATCTTATGAAAAGGAACTGTAAACTTTGCACTGAAATTTGCTGTAAAGCTTTACCTGACCTGTCAGCTGCTTCTTAGTTAACAGCTGATGCAAGCTTTGAATGGTGCTAATGAAAGTGTTAGGAGTTCCGTATTATGAAATTGTAGTTCTTTGCTTCCCCCCATGCCCAGGTGATGTAGTAATTTTAGACTGTAGGTAAAGTTCCTGCAGTGTAGACAGTGGTGACCTTATAATTTTAATTTGAAATACTTCTTTTAAAAAAAAAAAAAATCATTTTTATTGTGCCAGTATGCAACCTGCCCATCAAATCTTTGATATATCAAATTCATTAAACAGATGTTTTCCTATTTGTATTGATAATGTATTACAAGCTGTTTGTGCTTAATAAAAACCATCTTTTTAAAATCTAATATAAATTTGTTCTGGTCTGTATTCCAAAATGTCATTTGTGTTCTATTTTTGTGGTAAATGGTAGTAAAAATCATCACTCCCCCAATATATTTACAAAGTCTGTATAATTTTTCTTATGAAATACTCTTTAAGACACTGTAGCTATAAGGGGAACTGCTCTTGAACTTTTAGTAATAAGAGCAAGAGTCTGTTATTTTTTCCTTACTTTCTGATAGTAGTACTTACACAAAAGTAAGATAGTATGTGCATAAGTCAGTGTTATATTAATAATAGTTTTGTTCCCATGTAAGACTGGTACACATACCTTGGGCTTTATTTCTAAGTCTTGTTTCCTTTTGAATGGAGAATCTCAAATAATGTGAATATACCTGGTAGTACCTTTGAGGTTAAAGATTTTCATGTAATGAAAAATGATTAACATGAAGTTCATAAACAACTTAAAACCATGAGATTAGTAAGAAAGTGAAATTTATTAAGAGAAGGGAATAGAAACGAAATCAGCTGTGTGCATGATTTTGTTAACTTACTCTTCAGGATTTAATCTGGATAAATTCAATATTATATTTACTGGAAGATGGTGTGGTATCTGACCATTTTAGAATACTATGTGTCAAACAAAACTAGGTCTAAGTTATCTCACACCTAATGTTATCTCACTATATTTTGCTCACAGTAAAGACAATGCTCTCTTCCTGCAGGCATTGTTATTACTCTGCAGGTTTTCTTGATGGATCTGTCATTCAAATATATTTACTTACTTGTCTCAGTTTTTCCACATTATCTCAGGAAAGTGATGTGCCAAAGCAATTTCTCTATAAAAAAATAATTCAAAATTAATGGCTTCTCTTTAACTTCATTGATAAAGGTTTGGGTTTTTTTCTCTCAGGGTATTTTGGCAGAGGAAATCCAATTATTTTTTGATGCATTTGATGCAATGGCACAATATTACATTAATATTAGTTTAAAACCAACTGAATTTTCACAGACCTTATTTATAAAGATACTTTTTCAATATAAACTTACAAAATTTAATCTGGTTGCTCTATTCTATTTGAGAAAGCTGCTGTTTCTATGGTTAATATTTGGATGAGATATATTTATTTAGAAAGAATCCAAACTTAGCTTATTAATGCACTGCATCTCCAATTCAGCATTTGTTTGTAAATTGAATCTACTTACAGTATATAATAGTCTGCAGTATAAAATCCCATTAAAATATTAGTTTACAGTAAGCACGTGTTACAAACATGAAGATTATTTGCAGGTTTTTAGTTTATTTTTTATTCTATTTCTATTCTGTTTAGGGGTCAATAATGTATGCAAAACCAGAGCAGTAGCAGAAGCTCCTGACTTACTCGTGTGACAGCTGTGTGCACAACTTGGAAGTGATTGCTGTAATAACCCTGATGTTAATTTTGGCTCTGTGATTGAAGTGCAGTCTTGAGGCTGTTCTTACCTCTTGTCCAGCATTCCTAGAGGCCAGTGGATTCTGACTTTCATCCTAGTGTCTCTAATGAAGTCTCTGGTATAACCCCTTGGGCTATGCCAGTTTTTCCTCTGTCTGCTCCCTTCCCCTTCCTACCTGGACTTCCTTGCCTTTAGGGAAATTAAGTGGCTGGTAAGGTGCTATTTACCAGCATTTTGCGATTTGCCCGTTTTCTATGTAGCGGGAATGATGGCAGTAGTGTTCTAGGTCATGTTGCATGAGTCTGCCAGGTATTTCAGAATCCTTCCTATGAACTATAAGACTTCCTTTTGTACTGAAAGAATGGAATAAACACCATCTGTTAAGAATACTGTTGAATGTAACTAATTGAGAGAGAGATTTTTGTGCTGGTCTTCTCTTAGTCAATCTACCATCTATGGTTGTACTTGCTACTGAACCTTTAGCCATATACAACCCTTAATAGCATACAAAGTCAATGAGATATATAGAGACATGCTAAAAGGCAAACTGTGCTCAAGTAATTTGTTATCTCTCTGTGCAGGTACTACTGCAAGTAGTAGTGGTGGCTCTACCTGTGGCTCTTGGCTCTGGACTTTTTTGTAGTAAAACCAATTCAAACAATGGAGTTCCGAACAATGCAAATATGTTTTGGGTTTTTTTTTTTAACATAAATCACCTGCAGTGAGGGTTACAGGGCTACATGTAAGATGGGGAGATACCAACAGAATAGGGAAGGACTGATTTTAAGGGTTGTAGTTATTCTAAGTATGTTATAACTAATGACTTGGAAGTGATGGAGTCAACCCTGTTCCATGGTAATGAAATCAATAACAAGAATTTCTAAGTTCCTGTTAGCCAAGTTTGGATATATTTGAAATGTTTCAAAATACGGTAAGAATTTTGTTACTGTTTCTGGTAATGTAATCCTGAGTGTGGCTTTTGTGACAGTGAACAGTGAGCACCACTGGAATGATGATCAAATCAGTAGGTGATACCCATTTTTACTAGGGCACCAGATGAATAGACTGGGAGTCATATAAAATGCCTATACCTATATGCTCTTTTAATTGTGGAAGGTGTGTCGGTATTTAGTTTCCATAAAAACGTTTGATTCTCTTTACTGCTTGACTTTGTATTGTGATTAGTAGGACTAATGGGGTTAATTTTTTCTTGGAAAAAACAGGTTTGGACCATGGAGACTTGTATAGCTTGTGTGACTGACTTAGTGTTCAAATAGAGTTACTCTGGAGGTACAGCAGTGGATGGAGAAGGGTTGTGTGTGCAGTGGGATTGTATAGCATTTCTTATACCATCATGCTAGCCTAAAGATAGCGGTGCCAGTTGACAAAAAGATAGGGGGGAAGATTTTTTCCATCTCAGTTAATTTTTTTTTTTTTTAATCAGTAGGTCATGATAACAAGGAGAGGTTTTCATGGGCTTTCAACAACAGTAATGACATGTAATGATGTTATGTTAACCTCCAGGTTCCTGAATTCTTTCTACAGGATAATTTTAATCTGTATAAGGAGATTATTAGGAAGGAGGAAGAAAGGAAACTTTTGGAGCTCCAGATGAAATTCTGTAATAGTACATTACTTGAGCTCTGGAGCTAAAATGCTGAGAAACAGGGATGAAAGCAAAGATTTGGTGATTCCTAACTTTTGAAGTCTATCCCTCACATCTTTCCAGACTCTTGCAACATTAAAAAGGGAGTCAACACTGTAAAAAAAAAAAAAAAAAAAAAAAAAAAACTTATTATGTTAGACTTGTAATTTAAAGAAAATAATCAGAAGGTCAGTCTAAGCATACAGGATCTCAGCCCATATACATATGCTGCAAAAGTGCCTGAATATGAACTGCAGGGCCAAAACCTCTTTTGAGTATCTGGAATTTAAATAACATTGTTCCAACAAGGTAATTAATTCATGATCTCTCTGGAGAGATATCCATTGTCTTTTTCAGATTTGTGGAAAAGTGATATACTCTGAAATAAGATACAAAGGCAAATAGTCAAGCAGTTACATTACTTCTGGTTCCAACTTGCACAGTCATTTTGAATGTTGGTGGACTGAGTCTTCTCTGTAATGCATCATTTCCACACTTTCCTAATATGTAACAAAAAAAGTGCAGGCTGTTGCAGAGTTACTTCTGGGGAATTGAAATCAGATGTTAGAAAAGTACACTGGGCTATCATTTTGAAATCATTGATTCCCACCATTATCCCACTTTTGTTGGAAACTTTTGTTTCCTCTGCTTAAATAGTCACATCGTTATAGTACTGATGCCTATCTAGACTGCATCTTGATTTAAAATTCTATTAAAAATTGACTAATTGCATGCCTTTTGCAAGGATATGGAGTCAAGGAGTTCTTCAAGATATTTTTCATCTGCTCAGTGGAGGTAGTTTGTTGTGGAGATTTACTGTGTGGAAATACAGGTAAGACTAAATAACAAAAAAAAAAGAGTTTGGTTTCCCACTTCTAATGGGTCCCTTTGTACAGATCTCCCAAACACATGGTAGTTTAGGACCATTTCTCTGTGACTTAAAGGTTATTTTGGAACCTGAAGGTGAATTATTAAAGAAACTTGTGAGAACACCTCTGATTCTGTCAAATTGGCAGACAACATATTAATCAAAAAGATATTCATAAAAAATAGATGCTTGTGTGACTAAAATTTTAGTTATGCTAATACAAGAACGTAAGTATATGTAAAGCATTAATGATACACTTGAGCTCAAAATAGCAATGAAAATTAAGGCAATGGCTTTTTCTTTTTCTGTCAGTTGACTTTAGTTTACATAGGCCTCTTACAACAAAGATTATGGGAATATAATATAGAGACAAGAGGAAGGCTGAGTCAGGATATAAATTCCTCTTTTGAATGGAGAGGAGAAAAATATACTTTCTTAAAATTTCAAACATTCTAAGGAAATAAGTTGGAAAACATTAAAAAGCAAAGTGAAAATCCCAATTTTTTTCATTTAACTAGAGTTGGAAAAGTTCAGCTAATTTTCCAGATATTAGTGATATTTACGGTTCTCCATTTTGGCAGGAGCAGTCAATGTGTTAATTTCAGTGGTGTAATTTTCAGATGTGGTTCACTGTGTTATGCTTGGATTGCCATCTCAATTTGGGGGTTTCTGCCTCCCCTGTTCATTTTGTCAGCAAGAGTTGCAGATGCTGGGTATGTGACAGCACATTCCCACTGTCATTGCTGACTTTCCAGGCATGCCTGGATTGCTCGTGATCCCCGTGCCTCACAGGGTCAGAGGCTGCAGATTTCCAGTGGGCTGCAGAGCTCCAGCAGGACGTGGCTCTTGAGTATTATGCCAGGATATTTTTTTTTTTTTTTAAAGTCTTGGCCAAGTGATAAGTGGCTTTTAATGTTCCGTTCTCCCCTTAAGGTTTTTAGACTACTAAGAGAGAGAGTAGCTTTCATGGTGCCTTAACTATTTCTACAGGCAAGTATACAGCATGGTTACTTGATAATTATTATGATTGTGTGATGTGAGTCTGACTTTTAGAGACTTGGGAACGAGCCATATTCTAA